AGATGCTGAGTCATGTCGATAAGAAACCCAAAATCGCACATCCATTCTTTATTACCAAAATGAGGAAAGGCATATCCCTTCATATCCAAGAACAATTGTATTTCGCTTTTTAAGTTGTATACTCTTTTTAGCATTGCACCTCTACTAAGCCAACGTACTTCGGTATTAAAAACCACGTCGCCATATTCAGTTTCTAAATCTTTCAGGAATTCTTTAAATTCACGGTGATTTAACGCGCGCGACTTTATAAAATTGATTAGTTTAATTATTGGTACTGTTACATTTGGCAAACTCAATCTTTTCGCACACAAATTTTCCTGGTGAATTGTGCAGTGGTTAACGAATATTTCCCTTCCTGTGACCTTCTTAATGTCTTGAAATAGCCTTCCTGATACTCCTACCTCCATGCATGACATTGCTCGTGATCCATCTGTCGATATACCAATAATCTTTTCTAATGAAATTGAAAAATCGTCACAAAAAATTGTTTCGGTTTAGTATGTACTCCATTTTATTATAATTAATTTTATAACAATATATTGATGGGAGAAAGTCGATAAAATAAATTCAATTTTAAAAATGCTTGGTGCGCAAGCGACCCGCGGGCCGTGTGTTGCTCATCCTTGTTTTAGGGTATTAATCCAATAATGTAATTCATTTTTAGTCTTTTAAATTACCATTTTACTTTCCCGGCTGTTATAATAGATGGAAAGTATGGCAATCTGGCAAAAAATGACCATCCAGATTTTTACATTTTTGGTTTTAAGACACCTTGAAATGTTGAGAAATGCAAGAAATTTAGGGGCAATTTCTGTATTTATGAATATTAGTATGTGTATGTGTGTAGCACGATTTTATCCACCCTGTTTGAAACTTAATAACTCTTGTATTTTTGACAAAAATTTCTGAAATTTTGCAGGGAGGTTTGTTTATTAGGAGAATTGATTTGATGCTATTAAATTTTGGTGAGTAAAGGTTAGTTCACACTGAGTGCAATTCGCTGGCGAAAACGAAAAACAGAGCGAATAACATGTTAGACATGACGTCGTTTCAGGCAAATTTTACCATTCTGCAAATTTCTTTGAAGTTCGGAACTGTTGAGCTCTTTTTCACTAGCAAAAAAATTTCACCACCAATCGTATTCCCATTAGTTGTCACTTGGTTCTTGTTGTTTTCAAGATGGCCAGAAACTTTCTCACGCAATAGAGTAAGTGTTGTAATTATGGATTTTTAATATTTCTCTCATCCATCATTGTTTTCTTTTTGTCTTATCTTTCTTTCTTAATAAATAAACAAATGTGGTTAATGATGGAATATCGGAAGTGGCCATTTTGATTTTCGAGATGATGTTTTCGCTTGCTTGCAAATGATTGGCTGCTTAAAATTTGCAATAAATTTCTTTTTGCTTTTGGTTGTATGGGTCAATTTTACTAAGCGAATAAAAATCACTTTTTGCATTCGCTTTCACTATTTGTTCAGTGTGAACTAAGCTTAAAGGTTGAGGAGGTGGGGAGATAATGGGTGTTCATGTGTATCTCCAGTAGAATCTGACTTAATGACAATTTTACTTGTTATTAGCATTTACAATTTCTTATAAAATTCATCCCTACCCTCAAAATTAAGCTTTTTGCCATTTTATAATAGTTAAAATAAAATATTGTACCAGATGGTACCACAAAAATTTTGATGTTGCAGGGAAAGTTGAGCAACTCGTTAGTGGTTTATTTTTTTATGCTAAACAGAATGAAAGTATTCAAATAGAATTTAACATCAAAATTTTGACTATATTACTGTTTTACAATCAGTGAATTTTAAAATATTACTTATTTTCTATCATTGCTTGTTCCTTGATTTAGCAAAGATGATGATATAAATCATTTCTAATTATACAATAATACAATTCATTATTGTTACTATTCAATTCATTCCGATATTTTGATTATATGAATCATTATAATGTATTTGTGGTTTGACATTAAATATATCCAGAAGTATATGAATACTTAAATCTGATCAAAGGTTGTTTTTACAATTTATGAAATTCTCAAATAGTTAACAAAAAGTTAAATTGACATTGATACAATGATAAGTTACTTTCTATTGAAATTGTTTTCCAGTTGCTAAATAATTTGATATTAAGATTTGTTTTGATTGATATTGATGCAATTCATTGATTTGGTTTTAGATAATTGCAGAATGTTTTGGTGTTTGGGATAATTGATGATATAAATTATGAAAAATTAAGTTTGTAATTATGCAAGATTATCATCTTATTCAGTTCTGCAGTTTTGCTAAATCATATATTATACTAATGATGCAGTTTTTAAAATATTAAATGATAATAAATAAATCATAAAATTATGTATTTTATATATTTTAAAAAGTGTAATACTTTTCATGCAAAGTAAAAATGATGTACATTTTTCAATATTATGTAGCCAGTAAAGATTCTTAAATTCTCAAAAAATTCATTTTTATGATATTTAAGACCATTTTTTTAAAGCTCTTAAACAATTGTAGCTTTTCAAATATTCATAAAAATAAAACTTTTCTATTTAAATGTTTGAATCATATTAATACTGAAATAATTGTTTACAATTCTACTATGTTTCTTCTGCAGGATTTACAGCACCCCAATGAATTTATTCGAGGCTCCACTTTACGTTTTCTTTGCAAATTAAAAGAACCAGAACTACTGGAACCATTGATGCCAGCAATTAGAAATTGTTTAGAGCATCGTCATTCCTATGTTCGCCGAAATGCTGTACTAGCTATTTTTACCATTTACAAGTTAGTAATTTTTTTTTGAGAAAAATTGATATAAATTTTTGAGATGTAATAAAATCACTCTTATTTATAGGAATTTTGATTTTCTTATACCTGATGCACCAGAACTTATTGCTAACTTTTTAGAATCGGAACAAGATATGTCATGCAAACGTAATGCTTTTATGATGTTGATTCATGTTGACCAAGATAGGGCTCTGAATTATTTGAGTTGTTGCATTGATCAGGTTCATGTTTTTGGTGATATTTTGCAATTGGTTATTGTGGAATTGATATATAAAGTAAGTAAATAAATCTTGCATTTTTTACAATTGAGATAATTTTCTACTAATTATAAAAAAATGTATTACATAATGTATATAGGTGTGTCACACTAATCCTGCAGAAAGATCCCGATTTATACGCTGCATCTACAATTTGTTAAATTCCAGTAGTCCTGCTGTACGTTATGAAGCAGCAGGAACTTTAGTAACATTGTCAAATGCACCAACAGCAATTAAAGTGAGTAATTCTAATAATAATAATAATAATAATAAATAAAAAAAAATAAATAAATATATATA